AAATGGTGGCCAAGTTGGCCCGACGACTAAGAGCATCGACAACATGATTACTAAATCTGAGACGGTACTCTAGCATAAAATTGAACTCTGAAATAAATTCCTGGCAACAAGCCTATTTGCTTGATAGTTTCAGTTGGGCCATGAAGTGACTAACCGTAGTGTTATCTGTCTTCACAATAAATGGAGAGCCAGGCAAATAGTGACGCAATCCCCTAAGGCAATGAACTACCACCAACAACTCCTTTTCGTGCGTTGAGTAACGACATTCTGCTTGATTTAGCTTTCGGCTCTCATACACTACCGGATGTCCATCTTGCATAAGGACTCCACCAAGTGCAAAGTCTGAAGTATCAGTATGCACTTCGAATGGTTTAGTCATATCCGATAAGGCTAACACTTGGTTTGTCTACATAGATTTATTTAACTTTTCGAAAGCATTTTAGCCTTGGGATGACCAATCCTAATCCATATCCTTCTTTGTCAATCCGGTAAGTGGCAATGCAATTTTTGAGTACCCTTTCACAAATCTTCGATAGTAATTGCATAACCCAAGAAATGAACGCACATCATGAACATTCTTTGGTGGTTGGCAATCTTTGATGGTTGTAACATTCTTCGAATCCATGCCTATTTTACCTTATTCGGTGATGTGACCCAAGAAGCTGATAGACGTCCGAGCAAATGAGCATTTGCTCGGTTTGGGATAGAGTGCATTCCATTTTATTAGAGCATTTTGTAAATAATTAAGATTTGGTCGGAATCATAATAGAGTCTCGGATTAGCTCGATGAGAAGTTTATTTTAAGTTCGCTACTCGAGGTTCATTGTAAAGAGCTGCATTATGGAATCTAATGCTACTAAAAATCATATCAATTTATTCCCGAGCTTAGCGATGAAAGAAGCTCCGGTATATGAAACAAAGGGTTGCCCTTCCGATGTTTAAGTTAGCGAGAAGGAAATTTATGCAAAAGGCTATATACAAAAAACATGTAAAAGTGAACCTGAATAATGATCCAATGTTTTGTATTTATAGAGGTAGATAGTACACTCCTAGTCGGGTTAAGTAGTGGACTCCTAGTAGGATAAATCAATTGAGCATCTTTATCTAATTTGGGAGTTGTGAAGTGCTTGAGAATTGCAATTTGATTAGAATTGTGAGATATGGTGTTTGGGTGAGCATAAAACTCTAGTGGTAGAGTCCTATTAGATTAATAACATTTTTGGTTTCGTTAATGAACCAAATCACCTCCTCGGGTTTATGCACACTACCCCGATCCCGACGACACGTAGGTTAGAATATGAAGTGCTCGAAACCTCGGTCTCACTCGTCGAGGTAATACATCCTTTGGGATACCAAAATTGGGAATATCAGAATCTATTGAATTTCTATAATTTATTAAGCATTTACGAATTAAATATTTTTATTATTGTGCATTAGGTAGGAGTAACGTTTGTTAGAAATTCAATTCAGCGTTCTTTTCTTTCCCAATGTACCAAAAAAATGAAGTCCGTTCTTATAGAATTTTATAGGTTGTTTTTGGCTCTTGAGATATATTATATCGTCTTATTTGTGCAAGGAAACTTATAATAGCATTACATTTTTATTTCAACCCAATTATATACTATGGATCTGTCTAGTTTAGTTAAAATTCATATTTTTAGTTAACTTTGATAAAAATGGATGAAATATATGGTGAATGATAAGTATATTTTGTACACTTATTTAGGCCATTAAATTAGAGTGTGTTTGGTAGGAATTTTTAGAGGAAAAATTGATTTTTGAATAGTGATATGATGGGAAATGTGTGGTTGAAAAAGAAGAAAAAAGTATTGATATGATGGAAAATGTTATTTTATTGAAAAATGTGTGAAAATGAAAATTGATTTACTGTAGAAAATGAAAATCTGTACCAAACAGGCCCTTAAAGTATTTGTTAGTAATTTAGATGAGTTATAGTTTAATTTTGTTTTAATTATGTTTGTTAGATTGAACTTAATGCAAATTGATGAATTTGGAAGAAATAAACGAAAAAAGTGCGAAAACGAAGGAAATAAAAAGTTTGGGGACCAAACTGTAAACATTCAATAGTTGATTCGGAGCACAAAACGATGATTGAAGATCATATATCATCAATTTGATGCAACTGGAGGTCAAATGAGTGAAATATAGTGGAAGCACAAATCAATTTCCAGCTGAAGAAGTTAAGCTCCGAATTTTTAACCTCAACTTGAGACCCATTTTCGGATAACAAACATTCGAATTGGAAAAATTGTATTTTTAAAATGATTGTACACCTGTAGAAAAAGTTATGGCCAAAATACCAAAAGCTGCTCAGAGACGAACCTGTGCGCGCGAGCGTGTGGGCAATTTATGGCACGCTTGGCACCCTATTTCCCCAACCCGAGATTCATTTGGTTCTACGGCACGTGCGCGGTAGTTGTGGTGCGCACACGGGCCTTTTTCGCAGACGAATCTTTAGTTTCCGTTCATGATTCAAACTCTTTTGAAAATCAAATTGGACTCGATTTCGACATATTTTCTAACTCTTATAAATAGAGAAGGAGGGCTNTTCATCAAATTCATCAAGAACAAGAGGCTAATTTCTATATTTTGAGAGAGTAGATCAAGGTAGAGTAAGGAATTGAGGGTCAATTACATCAAAATTTTGAAGAATTCAACTTTGAGCTTGAAGATCAACTTCTTTTGATTTATTTTATGATCTGGGTGATATTTTTCTATTATTTTTTTTGTAATTTATATATTAATATGCTAGACTAGATCCCTTTTTATATTGGATGAAGATGAGCCCTATTTGTTTATTTGTTTTAATTCAAAACTGGCAGTTTAGATTATTTCTTGATTAATTTTGCATACCCATTACATTATTTGATTGATTGGCCACCAATTAGATAATTAGTTGCTTGTTGTAGTGTTGGAAACTCACAATAAGTTTAGAACACGATAAAATTAACATATGTGCAATATATATTAGAAATAACATTTTCACATGTGCAATCATATAGATAATATAAAATTTAATGCATTTTAATCATTCGAATTCAAATTAGGAATATATTTGGGACGTGACTGAATAGATTTAATTTGTTTTGGAAAAGTGAATTAATTACAATACTTATCGATTGTCAAGAACACATAAACAAAACTAGATTATAAATCAAGAATTGAAATAGATAGTAATAAGCGGATTCGATATCCAATACAATCATCCAGAAATTGATAAAAATCACATTTTTACCACTTTCTTAGATTAATTAAACTTAAAATAAAATTAAACTCTCTTTTGTTTACATAATTTGAATCACATAAAAAGTTAGTAAACTTGAATTGAATTTATTCATCGTGGGACAATACTCCCAACTCATCAATTATATTACTTGTCAACGATTCCGTACGCTTGTGGGTTTCGCAAAAACGGTGAAGAAGTTGATAAAAGTAGTAGATTTCGTAAAATGTGTAATTTTCATCAAATTTTTAAGCTACACCAACCAAGGGATATGAGACGACTCTATAACTTCATAATCGATATGTTGGGATCAACCTTCTTATTTTTCAGCCATATTCTCTATTACCACGAGACAGTCAAGAATTTTAAGGATGGTTTTGGAATTCTAAACTTGAGTACTAGGTTTGGTAATGTTTTATATATCCACTACTGTCATGTTGTAGCTTGAGTGGATAAATAGACAAACGTAAGCTAATCATCTTAAGGATTTGTGGTTAGAAATGATCTTGTTTATTATTATGAAGGCATGGACATTAGATCCCTAATAACATAATAACTTATTTAGTTGAGTTGACCATAAGACATCAGATAATATGAAGAAAATAAAAGATTAAAATGTGAGTCACGATCAAAGTTCAGAACAACTTGATAAGCGAAAGCACTGGCCAGCTCATCTTTACGAGGTTGGGCTCAAGCACAAAGGCTCGAGTCTTGAGTCAGCTGACCCATGCGGACTTGTATTGTTCAAAATATAGAAAGTATTATGCAAACTTGTGTAGAAGAAACAAGAATATATATAGGTATAGGCTTGTCGTTATAGCATAGATTTGTCAAAATGTGGTGAGCCATCCTTGTTGTGGGTAGCCCAACACATGAAAGCAACTCTTGGCTCATTGATACAATTCAGTTGGGCTCGAGTGTAGACAGGGGCGGACCCTTGGGAGGTGGGGTCACGTGACCCCTCAACTTTTGAGAATTTTTTTTTTTATATAAAGTCATATTTGGTATCGATTGAAATCTAAATGTTAATTTAAATCAAAATTAACAATTAATTTTAATAACATATTTCATGTAATCCAAAATTGTTCAACTTTTATCAAAATTTACTAAAAAATTGATTTTAATTTCCACCAAACAGGGGTAAAATTACGATAAATTTGAATTTTTCTCTTATCTCTTGTACTCCTATTTCACGTCTTTCAACAAAATCTTAACTCTTCTAATTTTTTAAAATTGTATATAATTTCTCTACAAATTATCACATTTACTACAATCTTCACATTCCAATCAAATTTTCAAATAATTAGAACATAAATTTGCATTTTCTCATATCAAACTGTGCATACAAAATGTGTCTGAACCCATTATATCCAATTTGACTTATATTGAACGAATTGTGTTTATTTGATTGATTATTAGTATTGGATATTAGTTATATGTTTTTCCTTTTGATTATTTAAATTAATTGTTTGTATCAAATACAT